TGAAAACCAATGGTGTCATCAGACCCGATGGATCACTTACGCTGGACATGTGGCTAAGCGACCTTTGCATGCCCCTCAAGGACTTCCGCAGGGCGACGCTTTCAGCCCAACGGCGCTGGCCTTAGTGCTTTCCATGGTTATGCGCAAGGCTGAAGCTGATTCGCAACAGCGCCGTTGTTTCCTATACTTGGACGACAGATCCATGGCTGCCCAGACGCTGCAGGCACTTCGATTCAGGGTGCTATTACCTGTTGGCAAACCTTGGAAAGCCACACTCGCATGAGAACGGCTGATCGCAAAACCCAGTTTTATGGCCCCACTGCTGAAGCACAGGCGGAACTGCAGGCTGCAGGCCTTGAACCTAAACCTGCTGTTGAGGTTTTGGGTATTACTTTTGGTGAACAAAACAGAGAAGTGTCACCGAAAGAAAAAGCCAGATAGACTCGGGCGGAGAGAGTGGCCGAGCGATGCTCGGCTCTGCCGGTCTCCCTTCCTCTCCGAGCCAGACTTGCCAACATTACCATTCCTCCCATCATCACCTGGGGGGGGGCTGCTCAATGGTAAGACCCCCACTAAAGCTGAACGTGATCGCTTTCATTCCATTTTTAGGACTGCTGTGAAAGGCCATAGCCCGGGAGACCATGCCGATCGGAATCTTCAAGACTTTTTCTTGGTGGGACATCAGAGTGACTTGGCTCTGACGCTCGCCTCTCGGACTTTACGTGCTTTTGGTCGTTTCGCTCGTTTCAATGGCCTTCAAGACGGCCCGTCTCTGGAGGCCACACGAAAGCTTGTTGACAATGATTGTTGACAATGTGCTGAGGCCTCTCCGGCGTGAACCCCTGAAATGGACTTAGCCCGGTGCCTGTTTTCCTCCATCCCCTACCAGCAGAAATCGGAACACCTGCTGCGTCAGTGGTGGAGACGGGCTAAGCTGCAAACCTGGCTGGACGCCCCTCGAAATGACTCTGTGATAGCTAGGAACGCCGGATTGCAAATCACGGTTTGCGCGCTGCACAGAGCGGCTCGTCAATTTACTGGGGACGAAGCTGCAGTGGCTTCAGGTGGATTGCATTGCGACGCCCACTTTATTTCGGGACGTGCCCCGGCCCGGGACTTCTGTCATGACTGCCAATCTTCTCACGCGCCAAGCACCAACCATATTTTTTTGTTTTGCGATACTTTCAAAAACCTGCGGAATATCCCTCCCCCTGCCAGCCCGGTGCTCGCACGGTTGGGGTGGGACGAGCGAGGGGTCAATTCGGCTGTGATTTCTCAGATGGCGACGGTCAGGTCCGCGGCTAATGCCACCAGACACAAGCGGCGTTTCAGTTCGGGGGGGGGGGGGACGGGGGGGGGGCTCACGCCTCTCAGGACTATATATAAGGACTGTGCGTGCGCTTTGCCGGCAGCTTGCGCGTGCTACGCAGCTGCTACGGATACGCGTGCCCTGGTATTACGATCGCAGCAACACAATCACTCACGCGACACCGAGAAGTGCGAGATCCGTAAAGACAAGGTGTTGCCGGCCGGGCCGACGGTGTGGCGCGTTTATCTGGACAACTATGACCTCCTGGAGAAGTACCCACGGGAAACGTTGCTGGAGGAAGGGGTGGATTCAGCCCCTGAGGTTGAGGCCTTGAGAAAGGAGTACCTGGAATGGGGACTTCCTCGTCACCCGAAAAAGGGGGTTAGCCAACAGGTTATGGCGGAGGTCCAGGGTGCGGTGGTGGTGGATGGGCGACGGGGGTTGGCATACCCCAAGGGCCAAAAACTCTCCAAATACGTCACCATCGCGCACCAGCTAATGCAGGAGACCTATGCAACGCAACGCCAAATGCAAGTGGTGTGTGGAGGCTTGGTGTATTTTTCTCAACCTTTAGACGACAGCTTCTCGGAGGGTTGAACCTCTGTTGGAACTACATTGAGTCCTTCAACGTGCGAGGACGGCATCGACTGCCCATCCCAAAGGGTGTGAAGCTTGAGACCTATCGTTTCCTTTGCCTTATATCGAATGAACTTCCGCCTTGAGATGAACTCCACCGTCACTTGTAGCGATGCCTCACAACATGGAGGAGGAGTATGTGCAGCCACAGCCTGACCAGATTTGGAGAGCAAGTCGCTAGTGGAAGTTCAACAGGAGAGATGCAAAGTCACCGAGGAGGACGTATCTTGAGCATCGGCCTATTTGATGGCATTGGGTGTTTGCGCGTGGCCCTGGACCTCTTGGGTTGCGATGTGGCGGGGCACATCTCCATTGAGAAGGACCCTTGTGCACGGCGCGTAGTGGAGCACCACTTTCCAGGAACAGTGCACTACCCTGACATTGTTGAGGTGAAGGAGAAGGACGTGGTGAGTTGGTCGCTGATGTACGGGCAGGTTCAGATGGTGATTCTCGGGGCAGGTCCGCCCTGTCAAGGCGTGTCGGCGGGGTTGAATAGTCAGCGCAAAGGAGCACTACGGGATGAGAGATCTTGCTTGTTCACTCATGTGAAGCGCTTGCAGACGCTAGTGCAATATCACTTCCCGTGAGCACAAGTACATACCCTGATGGAAAGTGTTGCTTCCATGGACGAGGTTGACAAAGACATCATGTCCCAATCTTTCGGGGATTGGCCCTGGTCATGCGACGCTGGGACACTTACCTGGTGCAATCGACCGCGATTATACTGGGTGACTTGGGATCCTCAACGTGTCTGACGACGGAGTCGAAGTGCACGGACATGAGCTGTCCTTGTTCGGGGACCAGCCCTGGGAAGACAACGTCAAAGCGGGGTGGTCCCAACGTTCACCACTTCGCGACCACGAGCTACACGCGGCCACAGGCCAGCAGGGCTACAGGCCTGTGGCGATGATACTATTCGTCGGTGGGAGTCGGACAGCCATCGATTCCCGCCATACCAGTATCTTCCCCGTCACTGCTTAACCAACCGGAAGCTGGAATGTCGGATCCCAAACGTCGCGGAGAGAGAGTACATGATGGGGCTCCCAGTGGGCTATACGCAGATGTGCATGACCAAGGACCAGCGCAAGTCTATTGAATACAACGACAAGCGCCTTATAGCCTCATTGGGAATGGGCGGTCGGTTCCTGTAGTGACATAGTTTCTGGGCCAGCTAGTTGGTACACCTGGCCTGGGCCCTCGATTGACTCCAAAGGACGTGATGACTCGCTTGAAGCTGGAAGGGAACCCTTACTTACATCCAATCCAGATTGATGAAGGGTATCGCTGAGGATCGACCAGACCAGATCGGGAGTCCCGGAGCAGGCCCTGATAAAACAGTTGGCGGGGTTGGTCTCTACCAAAGGCGCAGACTGGATTTCGGGGGAGGGGCGCGGTCTGGCCGCCAACACCCTGGCCTCTTTGCAGGATTACGACGCCAAGATTCGGGGACACCTCCCTGGCGCGTGGAGACTCGTTAAGACGTGGGTCACCCATGAACTCCCACATCGGGCGCCGCCAGTCCCTGAACTAGTCCTGCAAAGTATGGTAGGATGGGGCCTATACCATGGCCATGTCGCATTTGCCACTAGCCTTCTAGTGTGTTTTTACGGCACTTTACGAACAGGCGAGTTGTTAGATGTCAGCCGCAACCATGTTGAAATTTCCGCCAAACTCCGCACAGCAGTGATAGCACTAGGTCTCACGAAAGCTGGAAAGAGAGCAGGGGTCCAAGAGAGTGTTTCCTTGAGACATGACACCGTCTTCCGCTATGTACAGCACTGGACACACCTTGCCTCACCCCAACAGAAGCTGTGTCCTTCTCCCCCACGGTGGAGAAAATTGTTTAAATTGTGAAAGACAGCACGTTTGTACCTGAACGAATCCAGGGCCATTTTGGCGGAAATGAAGTTGGGACCTTTAGAGAAGACTTTGGCGCCTTACCGAATCTTTTTTCAGAATTCAAACCCCAGGGAATTTGAAACACTTGAGCCGTTGCAAAGCAACAGGCCGTCCTCGTCCAAACGAGGCCTGGGGGGACTTGGGAGGAAGAGAAAGAATTCCAAGCTTTTCAAAAAACCAGCAGCGAGGTGAAAAAGAAACAATGCTGGTGTCCCTTAGGACCCGGCCAGGGTTTGGGGTGTGGTCCACCTGGTCGGGGGGGGACGATTGCCCGGGAACGCCGCTTTCCGTGTGTTGTGAACCAGGAAGGGGGGGGGACAATCGAATCGATTTTCGGGAGTTTCTTTTTGGTTCCCAATTCTTTTTATTTTCTGACAAACCTGCTGCAGAGCGAATAAGAAAACAGGTGCTGCTTATTCTTTATATATATATATATGTGTGTGTGTTAGTTTTGCAACACTACTCGCAAGATGCGCGCTGTTCCTTGCCGCAATGTCGTGGAATACTTGCTTAATCTTGCTGACATGTTCAACCGCACGTTCTCATTGTTTAATGACAATGATGCTTTTGGTCAGCAAGTTCGCAATGCCAGCATTATATCTTCATGACTCTCAGAATCTCTTAGGGGATGTGTGTTGCTCGCTCAATTTCACAACAACTATCCTCCGACTCACTAACATGGAAGTGGGAAATGGACCCTTGGATGAGGATATTCCTTTTCAAAACAGGGTGGATTCCACTTCGATGTTGGCGAGTCGGACTGTCGTGCACTTCAAAGACATGCGTTGGCTGAAACCTGTCCGTAACTATCATTCTTCCCTACATAGAAAGATAATTACGGAAAATCTACATATCATGATGCTTAAGTTACAATGTAATATAATGATTTGCACTAGGTGCTAAGTTGGCTTCGAACCTGATACATGATGATACATGTAGTGCAATAAACAGACAGAACCCCACTAAACATCATGTCAATCAACAAACGTGCTAAACAGTGTACAAGCAATGCTGAATGTCACATACACAATAATGCTTAGAATGCTGTTTTTTAAGCCCTAGGTTCGGTGAAATAGAAACTGCCACCAAAAATGTGACGTTCCATCCACTTCCATGCGTATCCACACCTCGCGCCGAATCTGCTCCAACAGATCAGGCTACATGGTGTTTTGTTTCCAGATCTTTGAGTCTTTCGGAGGATCGAGCTGGGGTTTTGTGAGGGAGCTACGGCTGGTGCGCGCCCTGGATTTGCAGGAAAAGGGGAAGGAAAAGACCTTGATCAGAGCCGACTTGTCAAGATTGAGGTTACTTTTCCCAGACATGATGCTGTTTTGGCTGGTTCATGTCGAAGACTTTATAGGTGTGAGACCTCTTGTCACGATTTTCTTTAATGAATGTTTCTTGTTGGTTGGTGAGAAGTCCACGCTTCATGAAGCATGGCATAACGGCATAGCCGTTCAGCCCGGTTGTGCAGACCAGTGTATCGAAGGCCCGTGGACACACGCTACACGGAGAGAATTACTATGAGCAGTAACAGTTACCGCGCACTGGCCCGAAACAACGTCCCTTTGGAGTCCACACTTCGTGCATTCGGTTGATTCTTGGTTTCCTGCTTCAAAGGCAACTGCGCCACAATACCCGCTGCCAAAAGAATCCCGACTATATACCTTTTTACAATTTGTTAGATCAATAGTAGTACAGTAGTTCTACAGTAGTACAGTAGTTCTACAGTACTCCAGTTCTACAATAATAATAAAATTTGACCTCTGGGTTACTGGTTCTTGACTGTTGCTCTCACCACTTCCTTTCATCTCACTTGAACCAAGGAACTACTCTTTCTTCACTTTGAAACAGGTTGTTGTTCCAGGCCGTCCATGGCCAGAGCGCACTTGTGGGCAGGTCAGTCTTAGGTCTTAGAATTGCAATCTGTACACCATGCTGCACACCTGAAGGGCCACTGCTACTTAAGAGGTACTTGTCCAGTCTAGTTTTACAAAGCATCAGCATCAGCATCAGTGGCAGTATATCATCAGTATACACAGTATATCACAATATATAATATCATATCATATTTTATCATATCATAGTAGTATATAATCAACACAATTTCATGCCTGAAGAACTGGAAGCCTGTGCCACTGCCAAAGGGAAAAGCAGCGGACAATCATGCCAAACCAATCCCATCTTCAGAACGTTAGTGACAACATTAAAGTTTACATGAGACTGCAACATCAACTACAACATTGAGAACAACATAGATCGAGCAGTATACTGACTTGAAAACAGAAAGGGCCCTCTATAGAGGGGAAAGTTTGAAATAATATGTTTAGTGTTGCAGTCATATTGGCGCGGGTGCATGGAAGCGAACGAGTTTTCGTTTTGCATCGGGCCAGTGTTTCTTCACGGCGTAGGTCGTTTCGGTGTATGGGAGAGAGGTCAGATTGGTCCGCTACCCTCGATGTTTTGAGGGTTTATCCGATCGATCCCACGGCACGGAGATTAGTCACATTAATGTAACAAAACATAGCCACTGAAGTGCAATTCGGGCCGAAACCGGGATTGAGACCGGAGGGAAACCATCATATCCTCCATTCATCGGGAAGCAATGCGCTTAAACCATCCGTAAGGGCTTCCGATCGGGTTCAGTTCAGCCATGTTCAGCCTACTTCTCCTGTCGCCGGCTCAGGCGTGATTCGGGTGATGCGCGTGGCACGGATTTTGCAACGGACGCGGTCCTTGAAGGAGTTACGGAAGTTGGTCTCTATGATGGCCACCTGCATGAAGACTCTAGGCCGGCAGGGACCACGGGGCGCTTTTGGAGAAGGTCAATAGTTGAGAGATAGAGAAACTACACGAGACAAAGCGGCAAAAGCAAGATCCTTGGTGTATAGTGACCAGTCATGGAGATATTTGAAAAGGGTTCGCTGTGGTTCACGTTGCCTTGCTTGTAAAAGTACAGGATGTGTCAGACACTCGACCGAAGCACTCGCGGAAGTCCTCGGTCGGACCGCCCTGAGCGCCACAGTGACCGAGCGTCAGACCACTGACTCTTGTGAAGTCCCCGTCAGCCATGTGGGTTTCTTATCTCTTCTCCTCATCCTAGGGTCGCTGCAGCCCTGTCAGGTTGGTCGTTTATATTTTGCTTTGCCTTCATGACCTTCTGGGCCACTTCCGTCCGAATTCAGCCAGTCTTGTTTTTGCTTTATACTTTCATTTTCCTTTCCGATCTGCTCGGAAAACATCTCAAAATCGGAGTCCTGGTGGTCCTGGTGAGTCTGTTCCCCGGATCCAAGGCGATGTTGATGGTGGAATTCGTCCATCCTTTGGTGGTCCAGATGCAGCAGGAGGCGGTACTTGACTGTCCAGAATGCATCAGGTCAACTTCTTCAATCATGGACGCTTGGAGAATCCAATGGTCTCCACATGTTGATTTCTCAAACATGTTCTTTGTCATTTTACTATATATATATATATACAGTATGTATATGTATACATCATGTATAGCTAGCAGCTAGAAAACACTGTTTGTCAAACTGCAGCCGCAGACCCTTCTGTGCATGTCGCCCGGGTAGAATAAATGCAGTGCGAAAATGCTTGTTTGGACGTTTGGAAGCAAGATGCTCATGATTGGTCCACTCACTCCACTCTTTCCGTCCAGTTCCATGTCCACGTACTCCATGTGGTGGAGTCTGAGGCATGTTTAAGCTCTCCATCCGAGTGTGTGTGTTTTTCTCTCCAGAACCTGTAGGAAATTGAAAGCTGTCCTTAGTGGACGATCTTAGAGGCGTTCTATTGAGATGACCATGGATCACTTGTTGAAATCGCTAGTTTCATCATGGTTCATCAAGAAAAGGAGTGCTCTTGATGCCTCTATACAAGACACCTTGAGGCAGCAAACCTGTTGCTGTTCAAGACAGTGATTGCTGGCGACAGCTGGGGACACATTGCCGTACCAGTGATCGAGCACAGCCCGGCGACGGCCATCATCTTCTGCGGGTCGCTCATGACGACGGTTTTCGGGGTCTTGAACCTGCTGATTGCAGTAACTTGGACAGTTTTGGACAGCTTGTGCCTTTGCAGCCCGAAAAAAGAACACTTTCACTGCAATGGGTTCACGCGCGAAACATCCAGGGTATCCCCGAGGTCCGTCTGGAAGGCTTCGTTTGTTTCACGTTCACGACAAGTGCAAGAGCAGTACTGTAGCTTTGATGTTGAAAACGGTTCATGTTGCTTATGCTTGCAGGACTGTGCAGGATGGTGGGAATGAATGGCCCCCCGTACTCAATGGGTTCACGGACGGTTACTTCTTGTTGTTCTTGTTGCAATGCTCGTTGTGGCAGCTGCCCTTCAGATGCCTTGCTTGCAAGAATGTGTGCCTGATGCTGCTGGATTTTGTAGTGAACTAGACAATCCTCCTGCAACAGTGAATGACTACACTACAGACACTACACGTTCTTTTTTTGTGTGCTTGGTTGCCAAGTGAAGAGAGCTAGCCAAGTGAATGGAGCCACTTCCCTGCTGATGGCACCAGCAGTTGGTGCCAGTTAAGCAAGCAGAGGCAGACACTGGTGATCATCTGCTTGCAATTTGATGTTTGGGTTTATATGTATATATGTGGTTTGTTGTAGGAGGGCTACAGGGGCATTCAATGACATGCCGAGGTAGTTGTTGACTCTTTTGCTGAAAGTCGCCAAAACGATGTGCTGAATCTGGCACAGGAGCTAGAGCGTGAAACTCGAGAGGAGCAATCCAACAAGCTTTTCTTTGTGTCAGTTCCTTATGTCCACAGCCATTGTAAAGGTGATGTTGTTCCCCAAAAGTTGATTGGCAGCCCACCACTCACAATCTACGTCAATGACCACCAGCCCTGCCGTTCCATGTAAGGAGCACGAGAAGGATAGGAAGTACATGGAACGGATCTTCAACCGCCTCGATATGACTCACTCGGGCGAGCCTTGGTTTCCTTACATTGACCTTTGGACTGTCCATTGACAGTCCATGAGGTTTCGTTGTTTTTCGTTCTTTTCTCTGACGAGTCATCCCCACCAGAGAAAGAGAGAGATATTCTATGACATTACATGAGGTGAAAGGCCAGGCAAGGACCCGTGGCTCAATGGTTTCTTTGCTCAAGAGGCAGGGTGCGGCCGTGCGCACAGCAATTCGGCGAATTCGGCGCTTAAATGCGTGCCCCGGCCAAAGACCATTCGTTTGTGGAAAAAGAGCAGTTACGAGTCAATTGTGACTGAGCTAAGCCATTTGTACAGTTGGGATGCGGATGATTCTTCCATGCAATGGGAAGCCATCTGGGAATGTCCACGGAAGCCCGTGGTCTGGCTTGGGGATCGTCGCCCACTCCCTCCCTGCAAAAACTTCCCCCACATTCGATGGAGGCTCAAGGTGCACAAGACATGAAAGAACGGTATGCCGTTGCAAGAGCCATGTCTTCGCACGTGACACGAACCTCTCCGTGACATTTCGTGACGAGCTGGGACTACAAGTTTGCTGCGCAGGCTCTGGAGAAGAAGGAGGCCCCGGAACAGGTGCTTATACGTGCTCAAGATTCAAAAATTGAAACAAGAGGCAACAAAGGCTTTACTGAAAGCCATTCAAAAGCCAAAAAGAAAGAAAGGCAGACTTGTAAACAGAGTGTGGCTAATCGTGAAGGGCGGCCCACCCGAAGGCTTGGCTTGGCTTCTTTGGCTGGGCTGAAGCTGCTGATGCTGACGTTCGCTATGGGAGTTCCTACGGTCTCTGCTTCGGCACCAATCGGTACATTATCAAATTTGAACCGATTTACTGGCCTTTTGAGAGGCCACCAGTTTCACTCAAAGTCCTCGCTGTGGCGATGGGCTGATGAAAAGACCAGCCGTGGTCGTGAGCCAGTGCTGAACTGCTTGTTTGCGAGCAGCGGCGAATCTACCAGTGACCTTGGCAGCAAGTGTGGGCCTGTTTCAACCACGATGTTTGCTCTCAAGATCAATCCGTATCGAACTTTTGCGCCTATACTCTGACGATGATCACTTCAACTCGCTCCCTTTTTTTTGGGGGGGTGGGTGTCTTGGGGTTTGTGTGGCACTGTGGATCTACATGCAGTGCTCTGGCCGAAGCAAACTTTTCTAGATCCCGCCGATCTAGATCTTCAAGCACAAAAGGCGACGCGATCGTCGACATGTTAACTCTGACCATGTTGGAAAGAAAACCCAATGTGTGGCCTTTGCGGCCCAACAGTGTGGCGGACGCCGGATCCCTAGAGCTAGATTACGCTTCAGGAAAAGAAAGCTATTGCTTTGAGGAACTGGTGGTTGGGCACTAAGTACAAATTGACATTTTGCAAAACCAACCCTGTCAGAGCTTTGAAACGTCCGGAAACGATTTTTCAGAAGTTCTCGGCAGAGCAACGAGCTTGGCTGTCCTCTGCGGCCTTGGATGGTGGGTGCAAACAGTACAGACGCAAGCCCAAACGGAAAAATGAACCTTTGAATCCTGATTTGACTCGCATGTTGTGATCCAGGGTTGGAAACTGGCCTGCTTTTATAGACGTTGATAAGTTGATTTTGAACAAATATTACTTTCCATGTTCAATCACGAGCTTCCAACCTGACAGCTTCAAACGCTTGCGGCACCCTAGAATCAAACCATCGCTAGCGCTAGTGAGACGCTCGTCGGGGAGTCCTTTGCAGAAAAACACTACATAATTAAACCATCGCTAGCGCTAGTGAGACGCTCGTCGGGAGGTCCTTTTCTGAAAAAACAATACATAATTAAACCATCGCTAGCGCTAGTGAGACGCTCGTAGGGAGGTCCTTTGCTGAAAAGACATTGCATAAATAACCATCGCTAGCGCTAGTGAGACGCTCGTCGGCGGCCCTTTGCAGAAAGACAAAAAAATAAACCGTCACTAGCGCTAGTGCTCCTCGAGGGGGGTTTGCACAGAAAAAATACACCAAAAAATATTACCTGCATTTAAGGAAAACACTGATTTAACAGAGTGCGACGGTCGCCCCCTCCTAAAACCATCGCTAGCGCTAGTGAGACGCTCAGGGGGGGTCCTGATTTCGCTGGTCCTGGACCTGACTCAAAACACTGTCCTTCGCAGAAAGTTTTTGCGACCGTCGGTACTTAGAGGCTGCTCCGGCGAAGTGAAAACTCCACTAGAACCATCGCTAGCGCTAGTGACTGTTCTAAGAGGTTGCGACGGTCGCAGCCTGGTAGATCACTGTTTTCTTTAAAAGCAGGTAATATTTTTTGGTGATTCTTTCAACTTTCCACCTGGCACCGACCATCCCCATGATGAAAAGCTTGGAAACCTGCTCCTTCCTGGGAAATCCAAAATGCAGGGTGTGTGTACGGAAAGGGTGTCAGCAAGCACTGCTTCACGAGTACCTCCAAAATACCTTCCAAGAAGCTTTGAAAGGTTTCTAAAGGGTCCACCCTTCCACTAAAATTGAATGGTCCGTGAATGAGGCCAGGTTCCACGAAAGTCCTGGGCCTTGGCCCAGTCAGAGTCAGTAGAATAGGATTTGCAAAACCCTTTCTGTGCTTTGCCCTTCCGTTTGTTGCTGGGAATTCTGGTTGGTGTGGGAACCCTGGGTGGTGTTGGAACAGGTGCGGGACCCGGTGTGGGAACCCTGGGAATCAATATTTTTTGGAAATCAACTTTTCAACTTCTTTAAAAGCAGGTCAGGAAATCGTGTTTGAATCAAGGGAAGGATTTGGAACATGTCTTGGGGATGATTGAAAAAACTTCTTCTTCCCCTAGATCATCGGACTCCTTGAAAAGAGTGAGCACAAAGAAAAAGACCGCAGGGCATGCCAATTCTGTGGCAAGCTCAGGTACTACAGCAGCAATCTCATTGGCCCTCGGCACAGGTCCAATCCCAACCCCAACAACAGTTTTGGCACAAGAACGGCCAAGCTCATCCAATTTGATTGACCCAGGTACGGGATCGTGGTGGTGGTGGGACGCTTCGCCGAGCATCTCCCCTGCCCGCAAACCTGACCAAACCAGAAATGTTGCAAACCCAGCTGATGCTCAAGCCAAATCCAAGGAAAGGTTTTACCTTTTGATTCGGGGCGCCAAAGTGAACTGGGGCGCCAAGTATCAATGTATAGATGAAGTCTATCTATTTCTATAGTATGGCACCAAGATCAGAAGTCTATTTCTCATTTTTTCATCGCTGCTGAAAAGCATCACAATTGAAATGCGTAGTATCAATCCATAGATGAAGTCTATTTATCAGTTTCTCTTCACTGCTGAAAGGCATCACTGTTGAAAATGCTACCAATAGTATGGCGCCAAGTATCAATCCATAGATGAAGTCTATTTCTCAGTTTTTCTTCGCTGCTGAAAAGCATCACTGTTGAAAAACGTATCAATCCATAGATGAAGTCTATCTATCAGTTTTTCCTGTTGAAAAGCATCACGACTGGAAAAGCATCGCTGTCCAAGAGCAAACCTTTAATGTTTGAAAGGCAGTCGTTGAATGAACAAAACAATAAAAATGTCCGTCGCAACATTCTTTTCGAGCTTGGTGCACAGCTCTTTGGCTTGACCAAGTGCAAGACTTGTGATGATTACATCATTTTTGCAAATTGTTTGGGAATGTTGGATGGTTTTTGCACAGTTGGACATGCAAACATTCGGCTTGTGATCCAGAGAACCTTGAGTGATTCTTGATTGTTGTTGGTGATCGCAAATCAAGGTTTCATTCACTTGGTGATTTGTGACCGGATTGATTTGTGATGGATCTGAGGCAGGTCCATCACAAACACTAGCACTGTCCAGGGCAGGGTTTCACTGACCCAGTGATTTGTGATGGATCTGACTGACTCAGATCCATCACAAATCACTATGTAGCTGCTAGCTCCGTCCAGGGCAAGGTTTCAGTGACCCAGTGATTTGTCATGGATCTGACTCAGATCCATCACAAGCTAGCTCCTTGAGTTTGTTGGTCGTCACAAATTCAAGGTTCCGCTGAGCCAGTGGTTTGTGATGGATCTGAGTCAGATCCATCACAAATCAATGGGTCGGCGGAACCTTGAGTTTGTGACGACCAACACTGAAATCCATCATAAATCAACGGTTTGCACAGGCCCTGGACGGAGCTAGTGTTTTGTGATGGGTCTGACTCAGATCCATCACAAACCACCGAGTGAATGAAACCTTGAGTGATGACCAGCTCTGATAATATCATTTTATGCAAATTGCAGCTTTTGACGATCAACCTGTCAATTCGTGCTTCTGTGCCACCATGGGGAAACGACCTTCCTTAGTGACAGAGGTTGAGGTGCCTGAGAAGTGCCTTAGTGACAAAGGTACCTTAGTGACAAGCGCCTCAGTGATGTCCTATAAGTTCTCCATAATACCAAATATATGAAGGTATGCTTTTCAGCTGTGATGCTTTTCAAACGCAAAGTATGTTTCCAAAAACTTTAAGTCACTATAACAAAGGTATTATGCTTTTCAGCAGTGATGCTTTTCAGCAGTGACCACGCCCTGAGAAATAGACTTCATCTAGGTATGTTTTCCCATGACATGTTTGCCCAAAACTTTGAAGGCGCATAGATGAATGAGACTATTCGAAAAAGAAAGGTTTGCTTTTCAACAGTGCTTTTCCAGTGATGCTTTTCAGCAGTGAAGAAAAACTGAGAAATAGACTTCATCTATGGATTGATACGCATTTCAACAGTAATGCTTTTCAGCAGCGAAAAAATGAAAAATAGACTTCTGATACTTGGCACCATACTACAGAAATAGACTTCATCTATACATGGATACTTGGCGCCCCAGTTCACTTTGGCGCCCCGAATCAAAGGTAAAACCTTTAAGGTGATCTCTGGAACCAAAGAGTGCGTTTGATTTCATTCCACGAACTGTGTCAAAGCATCAAGAAGAGTGAGGCCTGGACGGGAAATTTGACTGCTTTGCATCGCCCTAATCAGGTTGAACAACTTCAGGACTTGTTTTCAGGCTTTTCTGTTCAAGGTGTTACTGCCATACTATTGGGGAAAACGGTGGACTCTGTCACCTACAGTCGTGCTAGACTCACATGTCAAGGTCAAGGACCCAAAGGTTGAAGATATTGGTCTGTTGTCGTTTGGCAATGCGGCTCCGTGGACCCTGCCATCGGTTCAGGTTGAAGTTTCCACGGTCACAAAAATTGACCGGGTCTCTGTCCGTGTCTTAGTCCCAAGTCATTACAGATCTTTGTTCCTGATCCCCTTCATGAACCCATCACTTCTATCATAGGTGAATTGGCCAAAGCTGGGCATGGTCCCAATGGGACAAGGCTAAGGATTCTAAAGAGTGGTTGCTCACTGGCTGGCTTAGTCGTGCAGATGCTTGCGTTAGAAAAGCATAGCGGTGAAAGAGGACTTTTTGCTTCTATTTGGACTGATCCCAAACATAGAACTGTGCACCCTGAATTCTGTTGGCTCCCCCCAGAACAAGGTGAGGCCCATGACACTTATGTCACTCGTGCCCAAAGCCTTATGCAGGGTAGGTCTCAAGCGCTGTGTTTTAGGAAGGGGCTTGGAAGCGACCTGGGTTACTTGCGTAAAGATTCTGATGCAAGGGAGCCTAAAATGAGATTTGTGGAAATCAGTGGGGTCCCTCGAACATGGCAAGCTGAGGAGTTGTCGGAGCTCTTAGAAAGTCAAACGTGGACCAACATTTCCTTGCAGGCGCAAGAACAAACAGCTGGTGTGGATAGGCAGTGGTTTGCCACCAGCAACTGCTGCTCAAAGTGTATGGCGCTATGAGTGTCCTGGCAACTTCACCATCATCATCAACGAAACGGTCCGGAAACCCCCCCTGTGTTGGAAGCTAAAGCACCCCGAAAAAGTTGGGGACCTAGTTTGAAATTGATTCCTGGCCACTACCCCCCTAAAGACAGGGGCAGAACTCAAGCACCTGTTGAAAAGGACGCTAGTAGTAGAGAGGATCGAAGTCGGAGTCCACCAAAGGAGAAGGATGAAGCCTTGCCCACTGAGGTTACCGACCTTGCATACATGCTCTCTCAGGAAGGGTTGACTATCCAAGACTTTCAACTGCAGGGCCTCTGCCAATCAGTGTTACTACCAGCAGTGGTGAGACGTGGCATTTTTCGGATTTTTTTTGACAGGCTTGAGGCTTTCCTGAATTTTCTTTGGAGAGATGGGTGCCCTTTCTGCAGTCAATTCCTGGAGGCAGAGTGATCGGCGTGATGATTCTGTCATGGCCCGAGCGGCAGCAATCTGAGTCACCGAAGGGGTGGTTGACAAGATTCGTAAGCTCTTGGCTCGCCAAACTGGTCATGTCATAGCAGTGTGCGGCGGGATGTTAACTCCTGCCACTACGTAGAGCGATCCCTTTAGCGCTTCGTGGAGTGCTGCGAGTGGGATGTGGATTTGGCCCCTGCGCCGGTGCTTGAGCAGTCGTGCGAGACAGGCTACGACGGGAGGCTGAGGACTAGTCTGTCGGCTGCTAGCGGCGCGTTACCCTGCAGGTGTTGGCTGCCAAGCAACGCTCGAAATGCCGAGCTTGTGCTCAGGTGGGACACTGGGCTGAAGAAGTCCAAAGGAAAAGGAAAGAAAGCAGCGGCCTTCCAACGGCAAGGGCTATGCCAAGAACGTCTACTTCTTGGTTGGCCTGGAGAACGGCGAGGAGACCGTCATCTACATGGCGCTTCAAGAAGGTGGAGCCGATCCAGGAGAAGAACATGAGCTTGAACCGCTTGCAGCGAGCCTTGGAGAATGAGGTCCAGCGGTTGCTACAGTTGTCGCCGGAAGAGATTGATCGACGGTTGAGGACGGAGTTGGAGTTCATGCCGCCGACGGCAAAGGCATTGACACCTAGCGGGTCCATGCATGAAGGCGCCAGCTGAGATTTATGAGACTCTGCCACCGGAACCTCCTATGCTGATGAGGACTCAAGGTTCATCCTCAGGAGTGAACAAGATGACCTCCGAGAGTTCGGCAGGGCATCAAGGCAACGATTGCCCACAGGCAAAGACTACCAGGAGGGGAACCAACGCCTATGTGGACATGGAAACTTGCTTGGACTGTGGACTGGTGTTGCGGAAGGAATGCTCCCAGCCTTTATTTCCCTGCCTCCACGTGGACAAGGCGAGCACAAGATCTGACCAAAGCTTGTGAGCGAATTGGGACAGAAATCAGTTTCTTGCAAAGACAAGACCGAAAAAGAAAACAACAATAAGATCCCAACCAAGATGTGTCGGACGAGACCGAGAGCCCAATAAGAAAGTCAAGAATGATGCTTTGTGGATGGGCCTTCCGAAGAAGGGACTCTTTTGCCTTCTGCTTCTGCTGCGCTGTACCGGTGGTTGCAATGCGTATACCCCCCTTTCTTCCCCTGGTGGTTTTGGTGAATTTCTTGCTTTGGGGATTCCTAATTGCACCTTGGCTGCATTTTATTACTCTTGCCCGCCGGGCACCCCGGCGCGCCTCTCGCCAATGGCCTGGTCAAGCCATGACGCTGCGGCTGAAACAATTCGCTTGCTGCTTGCCGATCTAGTTGCGCTCACGCAATCTGCTTTGCAGAACAGCCCTGGCGTTGGTGTCCCAGCGCAGGACTGGTTCGCAACTTTTTTGCAAAATAGTGCTCCTTTGCTTGGAGCCATTCTGGGCTGCACACTGTGGCTGTCCTTACGGGTCAGCCCCGTTGAATCCTCAGTCTCACAGTGCCATAGCCCTTCAGTTTTTAAGGTTGAACGGAAAAGGAAACGGCCTAAACGTGTGACTCTTCGCAAAAAAATCCTAGTCTTCGCTTTGGACGGTGGGTGTGCCCCGGCCGCTGGGTTGGCCGGCGTAGGTATAGGATTGTAATTCGTCGCTACCGCTTCTTGGGAAAATGAAACGGTTCAGACTTCTTCATCATTTACGTTGTTGCAGGACACCTTGGGGGACAACGTGTTTGCTCACCAAAACGACTTGCCGTAACACTCCTTTTCCTGTGGAGTCGGCACTCAGCATCTTTTCGCCACTTGGATCACGGGCCTCACTTGGGCCAGTGTTGGAGCCGTTTTCGGCTACTGTATCGTGCACCTTGGCAATTGGGACCCTTGGTGCGGCGCGCGAGTTGGTGAGGCAAGTCACCCGGGCCCACGCGGCAGTCGGGTCACGGCCAGGAAACGAGCAGAACGAGAGTGGGGAACGTCAGAGGCTGATGATGCCAGCATATGCCAGCCTTGCTGCTGCTCTTCTTGCTGTCCTTCAGAATTTTCAGTCGAGAGGCCAGCATAATCCCCCGCCGGACTCCTCACCTCGAGATCTGCACATGGAGGTTCGCAACGTGCTGTGCCTGCCACGAAATCTGCACTTCAAGAAACAAGTGAAAACTCTAACCACAATGGGACGATTCCGGAGCATGATCCGAGCATGACCCAAGACGTCTCGCACACGTCGTTCCGCAAAGCTTGACTTGCCAGCTTCGGAGCCACCCTTTCTATTGAAGAACTCGTGCGTCCGCTATCTCTCGAAAACGTATTTTGTATTGCGCCTGCCACGAAATCTGCACATGGAGGTTCACAAAAGTGCTGTGCCTGCCACGAAATCTGCACCGCGAGGTTCACAAAGTGCTGCACCCGCCACGAATTCTGCACATGGAGGTTCAAAGTTCTGCGCCTGCCACGTAAACTGGAGCTAGAGCTGTTGAAACTGGAGCTAACCGAAGCTAGAGCTATTGAAACTAGAGCTAACTGGAGCTAGAGCTACTGAAAGAGCTATTGAAACTACTGCTACCTGGAGCTAAAGCTATTGAAACTAGAGCTAACTGGAGCTAGAGCTATTGAAACTAGAGCTAGCTGGAGCTAGAGCTATTATTGAAACTGGAGCTAGAGCTCTTGAAACTAGTGCTCACTGCATGATGAGTGGTGTATGATAAGTGGTGTATGATGAGTGGTGTATGATGAGTGGTGTATGATGACTAGTGTATGATGACTGGTGTATGATGGGTGGTGTATGATGAGCGGTGTATGATGAGCGATGTATGATGAGTGGTGTATGATGAGTGGTGTATGATGAGTGGTGTATGATGAGTGGTGTATGATGAGTGGTGTATGATGAGTGGTTTATGATGAGTGGTGTATGGAGAGGTGTGTCATGGGTGGTGTATGATGAGTGGCGCATGATCAGTGGTGTATGATGAGTGGTGTTTGATGAGTGGTGTTTGATGAGTGGTGTATGATGAGTGGTGTGTTGAACAGCTGTTGAATGTCCGTAACACGGAAGTTTTGCACACTAAACTTCCTTTGACTATACGTTTGGACATCAATCGCGTATGTTCTGGTGCTTATTCCCGGGAAGTACCACACGACGATGATATGGGAATCCGTGGAGGCACAGACCCATGCAGTGACGAAGATGAGGAGGGAAAGAACACCTCTCACCTGACCAGTGGGAAGAAACGATTTTCCTTTATACTGTTGATTTGTGCCCCATCTGCACCATCGACACCAGCAAAGTCTTTGTCAAAAGTTGGTGGCGCAGTAAAAAATTTGTTGCTGGTAAGAAACTGGGGGTGAAGGGTTTTCGTTTGGGATGCGCTTTGCCCTTCCCATTCCCCCGAAAGCTTGGCACCTGCCCATCCCTGCTTAGTTGCGAAAAAGAATTGGTCCGGGCAGCTGCGCCCGGAGGGCGAGAAACTCTCAGGATCTCACCTTGGAGGATTTGGTGAAGGGTGCGCAGACCGACCCAGAGTTTCAGAGTAGACTGCGGGTGATGGACATCGACGAAGCGGATTTGGAGCAACTATTCAAGGGGACGACCAGAGGTGAGCGCTGGAAGGGTGCCGTGCAATGTCCTGCAAATCCCCTCAACCACCCTTCATTCGTTGCAGGCTGCGCCCGAGTTTTGCGCGTTCGGGGCCCATGTTGAGGTGCCGTTGATCCATGTGTTGAGATGCCATTGAAGGGCCGTCGCCTTTTTTCATCGCAGCACAGGGCACGAGGCATCGCAGCAAAGGAAATCAGTTGTCAAAGCGTTGTCAGTGTTTTTTCACCGGTTTGTGTGGGATCTACGGCAACTAGGGCCACAGGAAAGTGCGCTGCGAGGTGTCCACTAAATATGTTATGTTTGATTCGCTTGCGGGCGTCGGGATTTAAAAAGCAACTTGCATGAATGTGTCGCCATGGGACCGTTGAAACGCATGACCTGCTCAAAGGCGGCCGTGCCGTGAAATTGTTTCGTTTGGTTTACTTACATAGCACTTCTCCAGTGCGTGCACCGCTACCTTTTTTATTCATCTTCAATCAGAGTCGAATGCGTTGCCGCCTTTGACATGTGACATGTGTTTGCTGGAAAAGTACGCATAGTTTAACAGCTGCTGCTGCCATGTCCAATTGGCCCCCGTCCCTTCCGTTCTGCGTGTATGCACGCCGCCTGCCTCCAAAACGCTCACGTTCGCCTCCCTAGGATTGACGCGGATGGTTCGGGAGCCATCAACAAGGAGGAGTTCGTCCGGCCACTCACGCGGTGGATCCACGAGTCCAAGACGGCGCCACGCTTTGTGAAGTACAACGTGGATCGCAGCTTGCAGGCTCAGGTGAGGTCCCGACGGTTTGGAGGAAGGACATGGGCCGGAGAAGACCATAAGTATAAAGCTTCTGTGACGTGTGAGTTGTTCTTGCTGATGGATGTTTTTAAGGCTCCTAGGGTGATGTTGAGTACGTAGCACGGATGAGGGATTTAGAGTCCACCATGTTGTTTCATCATGGCCTCGAAGCTTCAAATCAATTACTGACTGATCGCCTCACGCCCTCAGTTTTTACCTTGACGGGCCTTGAAGCAGTTCCAACTAGCTAGCCACGACAGCACTCACCCGCTTGGAATCCTGGAATACCCAAAGAAAGTTGTGTTGAAAGGTTTGCAATGGTTTCTTCATGTTTGTTTGTTGGATCTTGCGTGGGCGGGTGGAAACGCCAAAAGGAACGCCAAGACGATTCATGTCCAAAGATTCACGACCAGAGCTCCGCAGCAGCTCCGCAGAGCTCCGATCGACTCGGCTGTTTGGGAACCCAAGGCTTTCCCTGAAAATCCGTTCACTGCAGAAAAGCGAGCTGCTGCAGAGCTGCGGTCGGTTGGCAAGATTTCACTCCAATGGTTTTGCAGAATCATTTAGTTTGTTCAATCAGGAGGAGATCCTGAAGCAAAACCACGAGCAGTTCTGCCTTTTGGCGCATCGACTTGATGAGCTTTGTGCAGAGCTTCCTGACGGATAGATAGAGGGGCTTCGGGGGTCAGGGCTAAGTTAGGCTGTTCGGCAGTATTTTTGTTTTACTTGTTTTCGTTTGTTTGTTTCCGTGGGAAGCCTGGCTGGGTTGGGTCACGCCAGCTGAAACAGCGGAAACAGGAACAAAACAAGATGGGGTGATGGGACTGAATGGTTGAATGATGTCGAGCTCTGATGCATTCCCAGAATTGAGGCCCTATGCCATCAAGTACCGCCACACTTTTCTGGCAGATTCACGCTAATTGTCAATAGGGATGAGGTCCCAGTATAGTTGCTATACAGGTACATGCCATATACTTTTGGCTCAAGTGCCCAACCAGGTAAAAAGGAGCTTTAGCGCGCGTGCTTCATGTTGAACTAAGGGCTAGAACGGGGCCAGGGCACACTTTCCATCCGTTCGCAGGTTATCAGCCGTATCCGGACTCCTTTGAGCTGGGTACGTGCTGCGGCCTTACACAACACCATCTAAACGCACACGCATCGGATAGATCAGTTACCCTCAGTCACTGAAGATGGACCAATCCGACGCCAGCACTGCATCTTTTGGAGCAGCTGCTGCGGCCGCAGATCGGATGAGTGCATCCCACAACTCTAGTCCAGGTACGATCGAGGCGGAGACTCTGACAGTGGTGAGAGAAGGTGCGACAGGTAGAGCACGAAGTCGTTCCCCGTCAGCGCAATCGACACCACCGGGGGGGACGCCGAGGTCGGGCCGTAGCCCTAGGGAGACAAGGAGGAGGACTGACACCGGAGCTGTGAGAGTGCTAGCATTGGAGGATGGGTCGACTGTGCCAGTGCCGTCGGACAGCGAAGCTGGAGATGGAGCAAGGGCAAGCACTGACAACCTACAACTAGCACGGACCGATGGAGACCTCAATGCGAAGTGTGCACAACTACTTGCCGAAGTGCATATGTTGAACCACCAAAACGCATGGATGGTCGAATGTGAGCAAAGACAGAACCAGATTATACAACACGAGACCGAAGTCCACGAAGTAGTGATGGCACACCTTGAAGAATGTTATGTCGAAGGATATGGAAATCAACGAAGAATCTCCCAACTTACGGAATCCAGAGACTGTTTGCTCTCAGCAGCACACGATTTACAATACCAGATTGACACTGATCGTGTGGCAATGCGGGATCGTCTCACCCAGTTAGGGGAGTACGCTGATCGCAACAGCGCAGAGATGGTTAGTCAAGTTGTGAACATCGGCACGGAAGAGATCCAGGCTATATCGGCGGAAAGAGATCGAGCCGTAACCGAGCTCATGACTGCAGTCGCAGATGCTGAGAACATTAGGGATCTGTATAGACAGGAGTTAGTTGGACTACAAAGGCAGAGTGCCAGGAACAAACACGAATATGCTGAGGAGATGAAAATGAAGGAAGCAATGTATGCAAGCAAGATCAAATGGTTATCAGAAGAGAATGAGGAGCTCAACAACCGATCCTATAATCAGGACAATTTCATCATGACCATCAGGGAGCAATTGAAGAGGGCGAACGAGGAGTTGACACAGGCGAGGATTCAAGGATCCGGTCGACCGTCTCAACCATCCAACGCCGAACTCAAGAAAGCCGAGGTCAAGGTGAACATGTTGGAAGAAGACATTCTACGTAAAGAGAGGATGCTGAAACGTCTTCAGGAAGAATTGATCGAATCAAGTGCGAGTGAAGCACAATTGAAGGTCGCACTGGAGTTGAAACCACCAGACATGGGATCAGAACCCTATGTGGAGAACGAGATGATGACCAAGCTTAGAGCGGAACTTGGACGTACCGAAAAGTCATTAAGGTCCGAGGAGAAAGAGGCAATGGAGTACTACGAAGGTATGATGCAGAACCAGCAGGACATGATGGAATTCGAAGCGCATGCAGCACGGCTCAGAGATGAGAGGAACAAGTACCGGAGGAGGTACGAAGAGGAGCGCTTGAATGCAGAGAATGCAGCCGCAACCGAACATGGTGCCGCTTCATCTTCTAGCTCGGGTGGCTCCAAGATATCTCGAAAGGA